AGCAAGGCTTTTTACTTTCTGGTACAAACTTTTCCCACCTTCCGATCTCCCAAGGAGGTCCTTGCAATCGCAAGGCACAATTTTGCTTCTTGTTCAAGTTGGTCCTTTAACTTCCTCTTTAAAGTACTAGGGTATACCCTAGTACTTTATTTTCAATCTTTACAATTTAATCCTCCTTATTCAACAATTATCCATTATTAATTTGAAACAAGTTTCAAAAGTTGCGATTGAGTCCCCAAACTTTCCAAATGTTGAATTTAACTTATGAAACATTGTGATTCTCCTTCGATTGCCCTCTTAATAATCCTTCTCAATCACGTGCAATCCATTTAATCTGAAGGCTTAAATTGTTGGATAAGACCACATATATATCATTTAAATATTTGCCTTGAATATAACAAGTGGTTTTTCGTACTTTATTACCCTCGCTTGGTTTGTACCATTTTCTTGAATGAGAAGTTCATATTAAGCTGCAAAAGAATAAATAATATTCATATATTATTTTATTTGATTAATTTTAATTTTTCAGCCATTGAACATAACTTATTTATCAGATGATGCCAACTTATAATTATTTTTATCTATCCATTTAGCAATCTTCGAAAAAATTCAAATAATTTTTTTGCTATATTTCCCAACATATTATTTATTTATTAAAATTTATTTTTTTTAATTTTCAATTTGTATTTTAAGTAAATGAAGATAATAAATTTTGTAAACCTCACACAAAATAGACAATTTCTAAAAGATAATATTTTTAGTAAAATATCAGAAGTTGGTGGCAATTAAATTTGAAGAATGATAAAATAGTTAAACAAATGGTATGCATTGTGTTACATAACGTCACATATAAGATGTGATTTGTCATTTTTAACCATCAATATTCTCATTATTTTAGTTATTTATAATGGAACATTAGTTAATATTTCTATTTTACCATAGTAATTACACACAAAATGCAGTCTGTGTTTTGTAGATTTCATCTAAATAAAAAGCAAAAGGAAAAGTTTAACATCACCCCAAAAAATAATATGAAATGTTAAAATGTAAATATATTGCCATCGCAAATTTTAATTATTACACCACATTTTAAAATAATTTTCTTATTTATCAAAATAACTATAAAAGAAAGGACAAAATTAAACCTATAATTTGTACACCACACTCCCACCACCAGTAATCTTCTTTTCATTCGCTCTCTCTCTCTCTCTCTCCAGTTCTTATTTATTTTACTTTACTTATCCCCTTAATGTCTGCGTGCATGTCCCGCCACATCTCCTATCCAACCAGTTAAAATTAATCAACCATTTATTCAACAATAAGAGATGCTACAATACCCACTCACGAGCTGATACAAAATCTGTTTCAGTGCATGGAGTATTCCTTATTTCTAGGAGTGGGAGAGTATTATAGTAATTAAAACCAGATTTTGAACAAATGGGAGCTTGTCCCCAAACATCAGTGTGGATAAGCTCTAAAGGGAATTTGGCATGTGAAGTGGATAAAGTAAATGGTAAGCGATGAGCTTTTCCGAATTGACAGGCATTGCAAAAGGGAATTGTTTCATTGACTTTCAATTCTTGATTACAACTTTTAAGTACTTGAGATACTACTTGACTGGACAGATGTCCAAGTCTTTTATGCCATACACTAATTTGGGAATTTTCACTAGATTTACTTAGACTGGACTCTTGACAGGAATTGACAGAAATAAGAACATTGCAGGAGTTGTTTGAAGAAGTAGACTTCTGATATTGAGATTCAGTGTTTGAGTGAGGAACCTCCAGCTGATATAACCCTCCTTTAAGCATCTCTTGAAGCATTACCTGCCTCTTTTGCTTGTCCTTAACAAAGCAACAATTTGAGTGAAATTCAACATAGAAATAATTATCAGTTGTCAGTTGAGAAATGCTAATGAGATTTTTTTTTAATTTCAGGCACATGAAGTAGTTTCTTCAACACAAGTGGTTTGCCAGTCAAGGTAATTAAATGGTTGCTGCCAATATGTGATATGTGCAATTTGTTTCCATTACCAACTGCAATTTTTTCCTTACCAGAGTATTCACTTGCTGAATTCAGATTTTCCATCTCTGCAGTGACATGGTGACTTGCTCCTATGTCTGCGAACCAGGCAGGTTTACTTACGGTACTAGGAGATGCCACAAAGGCTGAATGTGATGAGCTGTGATTGTTTCCCTGGTATGGTGGCTTTCCAGTATAGCGTTTGTCATATCTGAAGTGGCACACATTTGCCTTATGTCCAATTCTCCCGCAAACTTGGCAGATAGTTTTGTCACTACCGTTGAAGCCATTGAAGTTGTTGAAGCTATTACCTCTATACCTTTCTCTTCTTCCTCCTCTACTGAACCTTCCTCCATTGTTTGGCCTGTAGGTTCTTTGATAGCTACTGATTGTACCTAATTTCTGAGTGAAGTTATTTGATGTATGATTGAGATTGATTTCTCCCATTTCATTCCTGAGTGCATTGAGATGTTCAAGACTACTTTCGAAGGTCGTAAGTGTTGATTGAAGTTCTCCCCAAGAAATGAAGTCTTTGCTGTAGATTTGAACCACAATAGGTGTGTATTCTTCATCCAAACCAGCTAGAACTTGAGTGACGAGATCTGAGTGAGGAATGACTTTTCCAGCAATCTCAAGATTATCTGCCAGAAGTTTAATTTTGTTGAGATATTGATCGATGCTCAATGTTCCTTTTCTTGACTTCTGAAGTTCTCCAGTGAGGAAAGTAATCCGGGATTTGTTTTGGATTCCATAACTCTCTTTTACTGCAGTCCATAGCTTACAGGAGTTGCTGCAGCCCATTACCCTCATGGCTATATCTGGGGTCATGGATGAGTAAAGCCAGCCCATCAGCAGCTGGTCCGTTGACCTCCATTGATCATATTCAGAATTTCTCTTCATTTCAACTGTTACGCCTGCATCACCAGTGATCTGGGTGCTGATGAATTCTAGAGGACACTCCTTTGTCCCTAGAATGTGTCCTTCCAGGTTATGTCCTCTTATAATGGGGAGGATCATATTTTGTCATAGTAGGAAATTGTTTTTGTCAAGCTTGACAGATAAGGTTTGAGTAAGGTAAACACTAGTTTGGGAGAAATGGTGTCTTACCTGCACTGGAGGCATCATTGTGCTCGATCCAGCAGTAGTAGTAGCAGTAGCAGGGGAGTTGGAATCAATGCTGAGTGCTGGGTTATTGGTGTTTGCCATTGCTTGCTCTGATACCAAGTTAAAGAATGAATCTCAGCTATATGAAACAATGAATTTGCAATACATTAAGGCAACCATAGCCAAGGAATTTATACACACAGTAATTACAATGAAGGAGCCATTCAAGGAGTGTTCCAGAAAGTCACAGCTGGAGCAATCTCCTTAAATTAAGGAGTGAGGCTGAAATCCACTAATAACAGAAATCAGGTGCAACGAAATTGATAAGAGAAGGACAATAGTCGGATCTGCTGATGATTGGACTGAGCTGAGGAAATGCTTATCAATTGATAAGCTGAAGATCAACTTATCTCAACACATTCAAATTTTCCTCTTACCCCTTTTTCTCATAGCTAACAAAAATAATTTGAGTCAAATTCTAATGGCATGCATTCTTCTACCTTCACTCAATTCAATCCCTTGGCTAATCTCATTCTAATGATCATGGCATTTTGCGTCAAGCCTTATCTCTGGGCTAATCTTCCTGAAATAAAAATTGTCCAAACAGACACGATCACGTCATAAATGTTAGTTGTTTGCGTTGGATTTTGTATCATATGTTACTCTGAACTTATGATTTTAGTATGTAATATATATCTGGATTTCTTTTTCCTTTTTTTTTGCACGGTTTATTTTTATTCATAAATAATAGAAAATCTGTATGACATTTTTATATCTTAACAATACCTAACAGATAAAAAGGATGTCTAGAGGTGAGCATATAAAGATTCTTATCTTACTTGCCTCAGTTCTATACAACCCATTCTCCACAGTATATTAAAGAATAGGTCTGTTAACATACAAACAAACACTAACGGAATGAAATAAGCAAATTCCTCATCGCCCTTGTGGCACAGACATCGTCAACTCATTGGAGATTGAATCTGGTTTATTAGAGGTCCAGAACGATGAGCTAAAAACACGTTTTCTCATTAGAAAAGTTGGTTGTTTAAAGTGATCTAATAAGGTTTCGGTATTTTGGGATTTAAAGTATCTAATTAAAGTATGGGCTTATATGTGTATAGACCGGGCCCGTTCCTAATTTCATGATGGGTCGAATTAGGTCAATTGGCCGTTAGTATAAATATACGGTTATGGTCCCCGAATCACATGTTCTGTTCATTCTATTTTGACTCCCATCTTCAGAGAGAAACAAAGGAACAAAGTGTTGATCTGGAAAATTAAAACCGCAGGACTTGTTTATTGCGATAACCATGTCTGATTCAGGTACGCTTCCGCTTTTGGTTAATAAGTCCTTGATGATCCAACATGAACGATCTATATGACGGTAAACAATATTATTTTCATCCAACACTACCTTCACTCAATTCAATCCCTTGGCTAATCTGATTCTAATGATCATGGCATTACGTGTCTGTTCAAGCCTTCTGCACATACAATCTCTTGGCTAATCTTCCTGAAATAAAAATTGTCCAAACAGACACGATCACGTCATAAATGTTAGTTGTTTGCGTTGGATTTTGTATCATAACTTACTCTGAACTTATGATTTTAGTATGTATTATATTTCTGGACTTTTTTTTTCCTTTTTTTTTTTTGCACGGTTTATTTTTATTCATAAATAATAGAAAATCTGTATTGACATTTTTATATCTTAACAACACCTAACAGATAAAAAAAAGAGGTCTAAAGGTGAGCATATAAAGATTCTTATCTTACTTGCCTCAGTTCTATATAACCCATTCTCCAGTATATTAAAGAATAGGTCTGTTAACATAGAAACAAACACTAACGGAATGAAATAAGCAAATTCCTCATTGCCCTTGTGGCACAGACAACGTCAACTCATTGGAGATTGAATCTGGTTTATTAGAGGTCGAGGACGATGTTCTAAAAACACATTTTCTCATTAGAAAAGCTGGTTGTTTAGGGACTGGAAGAACTGTCGTCTCGCCACTAAGCATCAAAACTACATTTGACATGGTAGGGCGATCAATGGGATCTTCTTCCACACACAACAGCCCAACATTTATGCACTTCACAACTTCAGATTTCTCGCAAAATTCAAGCATCATAGGGTCCAGTAAATCTAGTGCCTTGTTTTCACTCCACAATCTCCATGCCTGCAAGAATAGCTTCAAAATATTTTATAAAGTGATTGGCTGAAAAGTTTCATATAAATGGAGGAATTTATCCACTTACATAACCTAAAAGATTCAGTGCTTCTGTGGACTGATAGAATCCCGTATTTCTCTTTCCACTAATTATCTCGAGTACAATAATTCCAAAGCTAAATACATCTGACTTCATCGAGAATAGACCGTCTGACGCATACTCGGGAGACATAACCGCTAAATCAAGATAACAAATATTAGTATGTAATATATGTGTGTATAACATTATAAGATGTCTATATCTATAAGCATAAATAAATAGAAATAGTATTTATTGATATAATTTCACTTGGTACAAAGGAGTTAAACTCTGTACAATACTTTGGACTGGAAAGAAGAAATGGAGACTAGTGACCTTGATAACCGTCTTTAACATATTAGACAGAAATGCACTTGGTGAGTGTGATTTATACACTTATTTGGGCTACAAAAGGTGGGAGGATGGGAGTAATATTATGAGCTAGATACTTAATTTTGTGCTTGTTGATTATTTTAGGTGAAAACCCGATATTGAACAAGAATGATCGAAAATGAACAACAATTGATCAAAAAGGATCGTAGATGAATGAGAGCCGAACAAGAAATCGAAACTAAGGACTACATTGCAACAACCTGGAAAATTATTGACCCTTGTGATCGCCCAGGTTGAAATTTATTCAGCAGCAAGTATACATTTAACACCATGCGATCACAGAAATTACAAGTGTGTGATCACACCGTTAGTTGCGAGCCGACAATCTAGATTTTCTAATCCTATTCAACTATTGATTCTTTATCAACTGGGGCTCAATTTTTGACCTAATTTGAGGTCTATAAGTATGATTCATTCATTCCAAAAATAAGGAGATATTAGAGACACATTCTTGAAGCAATATTTGTAATTTCAAACATAGACTCTTGAGATTTGCGACTCTAAATTGGGATTTGAAGGCTTATAATCATCAATTGATTGGGAGAACTACAATTATCAAGCTAGAGGTTGAAGATTCATTGTTGAGATTGTGTGGTGAAGATCGACAATAGCTTGAATTCTTTTCTTAATTCATTGTATTGAACCAATTGATGTTTTTAATCATTATTGTTTAGTTCTGCAATTATGAGTGGCTAAATAATTTGTTGTTAGGATGAAAAATGTAATTAACTTAGGTTTAACGTTTATTTAATTCAAAAGATTTCTTGCAAATTTGATTATGTAGTAATTGATTATTATATGTTTAATGACATTCAGTTGCTTGATCGTTAATTGTTTAGTTTAGAGACAATATAGAGTCTAGCTCATGCAATAAGTCATATAGGTTCCAATAAGAGATCGGATATACTTTTGTAGCTTATGTAATCTTGATTGAATATAGTTTAGTAGCTTAAGCAATTTTGATTGAATTCCTACAAATTACTTTGTATATAAGTGTATGTATTTAAATAGGAATATAGTGCATTCGAGCATATGACTATATTTAGTTTTATTCAAGAGATCTTAGCTAAAGTTGGTCAATTCGATTGTTAACACATATGAAAAGGGATTGAATGTTGTTGGATTAGATGAATGTGTAAATAACCTTAATGAAATCAAAATTTCTGAATACTTAATCCCATAAATTTCAAAAGTTTTCAAGCATCGATAAAATTAGTTAAGATTTACTTAGAACATAAATTCTTGAATTATTAATTGGTTACCACATTATTTTAAATTAAAGCTAGATTTAAGATAAACGTTGGTAGTAAATAATTAGTCTCACTGGGACTATATTCGAATTTAAATATTCACTTATTACTTATTACGATATGCACGTTTGCGATATGAGAGAACGTTCTCAATTGGTTACAAAACCAGCCATACAACCAGGGACGTAGCTAGGATTTTAATCTTGGGGGGCAAAAATACGGGTGGTGGAGGGGGCGGAGCCCCAGAAATTTTTTTTTAACTAATAGGATTGAAAACGAC